TTTGCTTATCTTTTGAATTGCCGACACCTTATTCAGTAATTTTTTCGATTCCCGGACTTGTAGTTTTTGAAAGAAACTTTGAAAAGTTTTTTTCAAGCAAACTGGTGAAAAAAATCGGAAGAGTGGATCGGTCCTTAAGTAGTTCAATAGTTTAAAAATACATTATTAAAAACCCAAACCAGAAAGATTGCTTACTCATGTATTACATGAGCAAGTAATTTTTTTGGTTTGGATTTCTTTAAAAGAAGAAAAGTGAAGTCGTCTTTTTCTAAATGTACATCAGCATACAACAACCGTAACTGTTTGTTGCTTAAAATTATTCATGTTTTAGAAGCCAGTAGTTGTTGTTCCCATTGTATTTCTTGTACAGTTGGTGAAGGGTAAACACTGGGGTACGATGGTGGTAGTGAATTCTGATTTGTTGTATCAATATCAATTTTTATCTAAGGAAAAATAACAGACAGATGTAGCATTTCTACTTAGAAAGGACTTGTTTGGTTTAGATCAGGATTCCGAACAGGACGAAGAAAACCGTCCCGTGAATAGCTAGTCCCGTACCGAAAAACCATTTTCGTCTCATCCCGTCCAGGAGACAAAATTTCTCATCCTGTCCCATCTCGATCTATTTGGTAAGAGATACGACATACTTAAACTTCTTTTTGTGGACAAAATCACTACGTCTTCTACTATTTTACATCGCTCTCGGTGCTTTACTTTGGAATTTCGATTATAGCGTATTATCAGCAATGGCAGATTTCCTACATTTCTGTATATAACCCTATACCACTACTGCCTCAGTTTATATTCACCAGCTGAGACACAAGCTGAAATGCATAGAATTCTACACATCGATAGTCACCTAGTATTTTGTGGACTTCTATAAAATGTCTGAAATGTGGGAATTCTAACATCTCTCCTTACCATTACTAGATAAACTCCATCTGAGCCAGACAAACTCACAATCGAAATAACTCTTAGCCTTCTGACGGGACAAATTTTTGTGCTATGTCGAAACAAAACCTTGTCCCATCCCATGCCAAAAAATATTTTCGTCTGGTATTACGGAGCAGTCCCGTCCTGTTCGAAGCCCTAGTTCAGACACTATGGTACACAATTTTTTTTCGAATGAAAATCAAAAAAACAGAATTGCACGTTTTGTCTGATCATAGCATTCGCTACTCTCAAAAAGCAATCCGTAGCTTACAAAACGAAATCGGTTTTGCTATTTGCTTCCAATGGAAACGGATTTCCGTATCGTTCAGTCCTGTTTAACCGTTTCGCAGAATACACCTGAACGTTCTTTGCCTTGTGAAGAAACGGGTTTAGGTTTTGAATAAGAGAGACAACGTTCAAGTGTATTCTGCTAAACGGTTAAGCAGGACTGTACAGAAATCCGTTTCTATGGAAGCAAATCCCAAAACCGTTATTCGTTCGGTAAGCTACGGATCTTTTTAGAGGGTACGTTAACTAGGCACTCGTATTCAGTAAATGAATCAGACTAGCACTGCTAGCAACAACTTACATGAAATCTAGAAATTTGGTGTCTCCTCCATATATACCAGTAAGAGTCGTTCTTCCTCGTAATCAAACTCCATTGACACATTGGTGCATATTTTTTGGATTCATCTTCAATTGCTTTACGCAATGGTTCAACTCTCTTTGTGTGTAGGTGGAAACAACGATAACTTAGAATGCAGAAAGCAAATCCACATATACAAAGAATAACTCCAACAATAATCACGAGAGGTTCTATATTTTGTTGAGCTGCAGCAGTAGTAAACATAACAACGCCAAGGAAAAATGGTACCAGTGCAACCAGTAAGCAAATAGCAGCAATTCCAAGTCGGAAGGATAACGATTTTGGAAATGAACGATTTATATTTGTTATAGATTGTTGAAAATCATATGAATTGATTACACCGTGCAATTCCATAGGATATGCAGTGTCGAATCCTGAATTGTGCCATACACTGATATCTCAAATGTAAAGAAATGCTGACATGTTTTGCCCAGCAACAAATAATTTTCATTACTTACTTTCAACCATTCTAATATCAATAGTGTTCGGGTTCGGACTGTCTTCGTAAGTCATTTGCCTTGTAAAAAAAAAGTTTGTTGATGATGAATATTAGATCAGGTGTATTCTCCCTGCTATTTTAAGTTTTTTCCCCATGTGAAAGACCTAACTATGTTTTGTTATTGCTTTTTCTTATACACACAAGATAAAAATATTTACTATACCCTAGTAAGAGCAAGAAATCAAAAACGATTCGCTTGCATTCTCCTGTTTCTTTGCAGGAAAACTTTTTCTTTCTTCCACTCTCGTTCCGTGTCAAGAAAAAAAGGAAAACTGGTGTAATTGTGCGGTTAAAAAGTTATAGGGTAATTGATATGAATGATCTGTTAATCTGTCTGAAAGAGATAGAAGGAAATGATATGGAATTAATGTTTGTGAAAAATGTCGTTAATAAACTTCTAGATAAACTGATAACACTATCAAGTTATTCACAACGTTTGTGTTGATTGTTTAGCCGTCAACATCATTCATAATAATTAATCAAGGTACAACTAATTTAAATAGAAATGCTCAAGAATTATCAAAGAAATAAAACATTAATCACCAACTAATACATTTGAAGTTGGTCTGAAGCGATATCTTAGATCAGGATTCGAATATTTCCTGAACGGATTCGCTCCATAACTGGACCCAGCCACACTCTCGATGGACCCAAGCAGAACTCGACGAGCTCTACCAACCCCACACATTGGGCTCTAAAATTCATAACCACAAACCAGTCAAAAAACGAAAATAACCCGAATACTAACCTCAAATCCATATTGGATATGGGACCCCAGCCCGCGCGCAGGTCTCGAAAATCTGAATCGACAGTTCGATTCAGAATATTTTTCTCTCCATATACTGAATAAATCAGCTCCGACTTTTCTAATTTATTTTATAGAGCGCTCGTGTCTACGTACGTTTATTTTATTCGTTTCGTACGCTGACCAATAGAAATCCAAGATGGCTGCCATGCCTAAAATTCTACGTAGAGCGCTTGCTTTTCTCAAAAATAATGGAAAAACACGGAATTTCTTGCA